ATTATGTGTAATTTTCAAATTATAATTTTTATACTGGATAACAATAGGCTTTGCTCCAAAATTATATTTTATTGAAAAACATTTTTTTAAAGACTATTTAAAAAATATTGTCCTTATCTTATTTATAGTAATTAGACGTAATTAATAATAGTAAAATATTTAACAATTATCCAATAATTTTTACTTTTTATTTACATTTGTCACAATAGATGTCCAAGGTAATGAACTCAGTAATTAATTTCGACTGTAAATCTTGATAAATCTAATAAACCTTTTATAATATAATATAATATAATATATTATATAAACTTTAAGGTTAAAACATTTATGTTTGCATATATTTATTGGCTATATGTTTAATCATTAAGCTTCAATGAATGTGCTGGATAATATCAAGGCTATTAAGGCGTTGCACCAAAATTATATTTAATAAGAAAACTTTGTACACGCTATTTAAAAATATTTCCCCTGATCTTGATCATGTTATTAATTTCGACCGTAAACAATGCTAAACCCCATTGCACTAGTACATTTAGTAATTATTTGTAGAAAATATGTGATTTTGTCCAAATGTACCCGTATATAAATACTGATGGGAGTTATGTAAATTTATTATTAGTGTTCAGTTGCTTGTTCATTAAAATTATTATTTTATTGTACAGTAAAGTAATTTATTTACTAAACCATAACAATGGCTAAACTGTTGATTACTTTGACGGCACTGTTAGTCCTGGTAGTGATCTATACATCGGCTGAAGACTCAAACAAAAAATTTGCTGAAGAGGCGCAAAAAACTGCCAAGATGATTTGGTGTGGTATGTACCAGGGATACTTTCATTAATCATTATTATTGTTATAGTTGTAATCGCTTAAACACTTTTAAACAATTTAATTTTATATAATACTATAGTCAACTACAGTAGTTAATTTTTTATTTGTAACGGATCAATTTTAAATAATACCACAAATGTGCAAGTTAGAATTTTATTACAGTTTGCAGATTAATATAATTAATAATAACTAATGTAATAATAAATATCAAAAATATAGTAGTTACTGAATTATCAAATGACCAGGGACCTGCAAGGACAAGGCTGTGAGTGGTGAGATCATGAGGTTTGGTCAGTGCGTTCAGGCCCTGTATCCCAAACAGTTCGCCAAAATCATGGCCATACGAGCGGCACAGGTGTCTAATCCGGACGAGTGTTTCAAACAAGTGATAATCGAAACGGAAAGCTATACCCGGGCTGACCCGTCCCATGCCGCCAATGTATTGAACTGCTACCGGGCTAATATGGTCCCCAATCACCTTGCTAAATGCTATTAATAAGCTACATGTAATACCACGAGTATTATATTTATATTATTTTGAATTCCTTGTTATTAGTTTTTAGTATGTTTTTAACATTCAGTTTCTAATATTATTTCATAATGATTAGCCAATATTCTTATTTAAAATTTTATTTTAAATATTATTGTAATTGAGTTAATAACATTTTTAAGATATATAAAGTGGATCAAAAAGTAATGGGATGAGGGTTTGCTTAATAGCTCGCTTATTGGTTATAGCAAAAATCTATGCTCTGGCACACTTAAAGTTTATTATGAGGTAGCCATGAAAAAACAAGAATATTCTGTTTGACATCAAGAATATTCTGTCAAATGTTACTTTTTGCTTTATATACTGTATAATTTATATAATATAAATGTATTATTGTTGTTTATATTGCTATTAAGTTATAAGTGCAAGTGTATGTACAAGGACAATATATGGGTTCCTAGCATTGCAAATATTATAAATATGATTAATCATACTTATTGTGTATTTAAAAGCAATACTTAAAATTAGTTAAATTTATAAAATAATTTAAACTGTAACTTTAGAAATAATTATTTGCATAATACTCATAGGGGTAAACTAAAAACTTTTAAGTCGTTAATTTCTGTCATAAAAATTAAATTAATTACATAATTAATAATTTTCCAAATTAATACAAAAGTAAATGTTTTTCTTATAATGAATTTACGTTTTTTTATTTTATAATAAATACTTTATTACGTATTTTTAATAGTTTATAACAAAAAGATTTTAATTATCATTAAGTGTAATAAACAATTAATTAATTAAAATAAAAAAAGTTTACAATTATTTGCCTAAAAATCTCTAAAACACAGAAAGAGTGCAAAAAATATGACTTTTTATTCATTCATTAAATTAAAAAACTTTTAATTAACACAAGAATTACACACAAAATTGAATTGACTTTTCAAAAGGGATGGGGAGGTGTGTGTTGGGAAAGGTATGTGAGAAGGGGAAAGGGATCACTCGGTGACCCCGCACTCGAACCGTACGAAATCCACAACTTGAATACCCGTCTCATTCAGGTATTGAGCGACAGTCAGGTCCTCATCGAAGACAAACTGCTGCTCCAATAGCGCCGTCGACTCCGGATCGCCGACCACCACATCATCCCTGTCCTCCTGGCCCTCCCGGTGCTCATCACTCGTCGTCGTCGGCTTCATACCGCCGACCGGTTCGATAGTCTTGGGCTTCAAACCGATGATATGTTGCGCTAATTGTTTGCCGATCTCTTGGATCTCATCCGAGGTTTTGGTGATGTATTCGCCCGATTCGGTCACCGATTGGACTAAAAATGGGATCAAAAATAATAGTTTTATTAAACGATTGCTATGTCTGCGGTCTATTATTAGCACTGATTATGAAATGATTACAAAAGTAATTAATTATTTAAAGTATTGCCGGTTATTATGTCCCAATAAATATATAGATTAAAAATAGTGATACAATGATTCAAATTAATGTATTTGTGGTACAGTTTGGAAAGAATTATATTATAAATCATAGCTCTCTCTCTCTCTCTCTCTCTCTCTCTCACTCTCTCTCTCTCACTCACAGCAAACTCCTAACAATAAAAACATTAATTATATAAACTTATAAAACAAATATATAAACACTTTTCTTATAAATTACTATAATCTCATTAATCATTAAAACTGTAAAATATATTTTATCTGACATTAAATTTACAGAAAATAATTAAACATTAATATACCGGGAATTGTGATACAGTATCACTGGTACTAATGATATTTTTACTACCTATACCTCCCGTTCCCATTCAACACACCACTCAAATGATACTTAAATTACAAACAATTAGTGTTTATATTTAACAAATTAATCCACAAATGAATTACACCTAAAATACTCTTAAATAACTAATACTGTACACCATATACACCGGTAGACTACCAGTCCTACTGCCTGTCCACACACTATACGCTATAAAACAGTAATTCACTAAAAAAATTAATTAAAAACCCATAAATAGTTCCCCAAAAAACAGCCCATAATTACCGGCTTTGAGGGCCACAATCGTCCCGTACTTTCCCAACAGCACCGGGTCTTCATCACCATCAGCACCGGTAGTAAAAAAATTAATTAAAAACCCATAAATAGTTCCCCAAAAAACAGCCCATAATTACCGGCTTTGAGGGCCACAATCGTCCCGTACTTTCCCAACAGCACCGGGTCTTCATCACCATCAGCACCGGTAGTCTGTGTTTTGCCTCCAACTGCGTGCGTATAGCCCACGAGATGTATACCCTCCGCATCACCACCGGGTGGGCTACCGGTGCTCACGAGACACGCCTTCGACACCCGGATATTCTCGCCTAACTTTCCGATCGCCTCGACCACCAGCCCCGGGGCTAACTGTGCCAACTGGTCCTCGGAGAACCTCATACGGGACACGAGAGCGCCGGGATCCCGGTGCTGGGCGGCGCCTGTATGCCCAAAATCGCTCAGCTGACGGGTCAGGGCTCGGGCCAGACCTCCAAACACCTCATTCCGGGCCACGAAATCGGTCTCACAATTCAACTCAAGCATAGCTGCCAGCCCTCCGGCGCCGGTACGCCCGGGGCCCCGGTATACGGCTACCAGTCCCTCGGCTACCGGTCGTTGGGCGACCCTCTGGGCCCTCTCCCAGCCCTGTTTGGCTGCCTCAGCCCTCAGCCACCGTTCCGCTTGCGTCAGGTCCTGGCCGTGGAGTTCGAGGGCTTTCCGGCACAGGGAGTAGGCGTAGCCCGTACGGCGCCGTAGCGTAGCCATGGGCGAGTCGGCAGCGCTGGTAGGTTTGGCTGACAGGGCACGGGTAGCACAGGTGGGCCCCAACGCGCGGGTCATAGCCGTGACCGCAGTGCCCGGGAGTAGGCCTTTGAACATCACTAACGAGTTGTTTATGTGTTTCAAACACATGTTATTGAATGGTGTGTATGAGAGTGGCGTACGACTGTGTGCGGAGTGTTGTAGACGTTCGCAGTGCTATTAGTGTGTGTTTTGTCTACAGGAGTGTCTGACGCAATGTTTGTGTGTTGTGTCAAATGGTGTTCATAAATAATGTGTGCTTTTATGTGGGTGTTTTTGTATGACCCCCTTATTGTGTATATTTTTGAGAATACAGTATGTTCTAGGTATTTTTTACTGATTTTTTTGAATAGTATATAACATTTTTGACTATATTATATTATAATTTAACTATAACCTTTAAAAAATAAATTTTAATACATAATACAGTACAAAAATAAGTTTTAAAGTACAGTACCTTGTATGTTGTTCAAATATACAGTATGTTTATGATAGCAAGTATTATACAATGCTATTGTTACTATAGTAAAAGCAATTAGTATATGGTACATTAATTAATTTTAATGTAGAAAGGTTTAAAAGTGTATTAAAGCAAGTGTGCCTGGTAAGTTAATATTTTTACTATTATTAGTGGGACTATGTGCATAACACAGCCTCCGTGGCGCAATCGGATAGCGCGTTCGGCTGTTAACCGAAAGGTTGGTGGTTCGAGCCCACCCGGGGGCGTGACTTTTTTGTTTTATTTTTTACATTTTTGTTTATTTTATTTGTGACAGGTTATATTATGAAAGTCTGTTCGCTATAATTTCTAATGAAATAATAATTATTTTTAAAATATTGTTAAGTTTTGTTTGTGTGTTTTTGGTATTGTATGAAATGTTTAGTTTATGATTCAATAATTTTTAGCTTTAAATAATAACTAAATTCAACACATTATCACCAAGTTCCTTATTAAGTACATCTACCTAGTAAAATGATTATTCAAATAATTACTTTTATCTAAAATGTTTTAGATTGTATAAAAGTTAATTTTTCTGTATTGTGGAAACAACCTAAATATATTTACTTTTTAATATTTTCAATAATTATAATATTAAACTAAATTTATTTTACAGTTTTCATGATCAATGAAATCATAAATACGGTAATTAATAAAATAATCCTAAACAAACTGTACAATAAATACAATATTTTGAAACATTTTATTGATAATACTAGTTAAGTTATTCGTGGCAAGTATAATTAAGTAGTTTAATTTGTATACCTTAAGTTTATTTTAAACTTATAAACATAACATAATATATTTCAAGATTATGTGTAATTTTCAAATTATAATTTTTATACTGGATAACAATAGGCTTTGCTCCAAAATTATATTTTATTGAAAAACATTTTTTTAAAGACTATTTAAAAAATATTGTCCTTATCTTATTTATA